CAATGCAGGCAACCTTATTCTGTTGTTTTTGTGCTGTTCTAGATGCTCAGTTATTCTTTGTCTCAATTCCTCTTGTTTTTTAGTTAGAGGGCTTTGTTTTTTCTGAGGAGAAAGCTCTACTGTCTGAGCTACTTTTCACAAGGCTTCAATTTCTTTGCCCTGGGTAGACCTTTGCAGTTCTTCCAAATACTACTTCTGTGAATACTTTATTTCATGTTATAAATCAGTGTTGATCTGCTAGCCTTTGTTCTGTTATTTCTGATTCTGTTGTTCTTTCCAGAACTGGTGCATTCTTTTCAGATAACCTCTTCTTGTTGGACTTGATTTGGAATAGCAAATCATTATTTCTTTGTTCTCAGTCTTTGTATATTTGCAACGGGTAAACAACTTTTCTTCCAGTAATTCTGCAGCTGCTGGCCCTGGTTGCTCAGCCAACAGTCCTGCGTCCTGTAGCCCATTTGTCACCAGATGTCCAGGAACTAGAACACCTAGTACAGTCGTTGACCTGGGCAACGACTGATCCAGTGTGGGTTTCTGTAAATTACGTCTCACCATATTATTTATGGGAGAGACACTCTTTGTCTGGCTCTTCTGATGAGACCTGTCCAGTATGGTTGAAGCTCTGGCATAGCTGTCATCCTCCTTGGAGCACACAAGCCCAACAACCACGTCAAGGTAGTGCCTCACTGGGGGGTTGTTGCTGTTGTTGTTGTTATTATTATTAATATCCCTTCGCCTATTATTTTCCCTTTCTGTTTAAGTTCTGTTTTTAATGTTTTTAATGTTTTTAATAATTACTATAAAATGGTTTTATGTAATGATTGTTTATATATTTATTGTTTTATTGGATTGTTGTACCCCGTCCAGAGTCACTTTTTGTGAGATGGGTGGCCATATAAATTTGATTAATAAAAAAAAAGAATAAAAATAAGAAACACAAAAGGTACTTTAAAAAAAATAGTTTGAATATATAAGTATACATGTAATCTAAAAAGGGGCAGAAAATGTTAAGCTTCCATATTCAGTATTTATGTTAAAGCACTCTTATGTGTTTTTTTTCTTTTGTAGTTTATAAAAATTAATTTCAAAAAGCTTCTATATTCAGTATCACTGCCCAGAAATGTATAAATGGAGGAATCTATTGCAAATTTTAAAATTTAATTAAAAATGGAGATCAAATGGAGATCAATCATTATTTAATAGATTTTCCAAGATTCTTTGTTATTGTGCCATAAATACTATTGTTATCAAATACCACTGCATCAAAGAATGATGTACTTCAGTTTTCCAGTATTGTGCTGTACAAAATCTGGTAGCTAAAAACAAAACCTCAGTTAATTTCTTAAATTGCATTATAAGGAAAAATGAACAATAAATTCATACTATAATTACCAATGGTTCTTGTTTGTTTGTTTGTTTGTTTGTTTGTTTATTTATTTATTTATTTACTTATTTAGCATATTTATAT